CCTCTGTCGGCTGCGAAGGTTGAAGTGGGAGATGAGGTTGTGATTTGCTGGATTGTGGTGGTGTTGGAGATTCGGTGGGTTGCGATTGTGTGTTGTCTGTGTCAGATTTGACATCTTGCTTGTCCTTTTTGTTGCCATCATTGTACTGGTCCTGCAGCTCTTGCAGGTACAACACCAATTCCTTGATGAGGTGTGACATTGCTGGTCGTTTTGCGAGTGTGAGCTTTTCTTGCCAGCAGAATGCGGTGGCCGCTTGGTCCAGATCAATTCTCCTTGCTCGGAGTTGACCCATAAGTTCAGTGGTAAAGACGGCTTCGCTGATGTGTTTGCTGCATGTGAGATGGATGTCGAAGCCGTGTGCGGCGTACCGTAGCCAGTACGAGGACCAATTGTGTCGCAGAAATGCGACCAATGGTGCTGTTGCGATTGGCATGCCTGCCGTGCGGTTGTGCACTGAATGTGGTGTAGATTGAATGTGTTTGGGTAGGTTGAGGCCAAAAAGCTGCCTGTTGTCCCAATGCTCTGGTGTTTGAACGAAGTCGTTTGGTATCTGGGGATTTGTAGGCGTGGGATTGGGGTGTTGTTGTTGTTGGGGTGTGACGGTGGCCTGAGGTAATGTATGTGAAGAAATGCTGGGGTTTCGAGTCGTCATCGAAGATGGACTCACAAATGGGTGTTGGGGAGTGGTAGGTGTGGGGGTTGGCAGTGTGGTGGGTGATGTTGGGCCGGGAAACTGCTGGGGTGGGGGAGGGGGTGGAGGGAAAGGTGGGAAAGTGGTGTTGTGGCTGTAAGTGTGAGCTGAACCCCAAGTAGTCGGGGTTAGGGGTGGAGGTGTGTGGTGGGATGTTGTGAATCCCTGGTGGTGGGGAGATCGGGTGCATTGGGGTGCTACTGGTCGAGGCTGTTTGTCGCTGCACCGTACTGATTGCTGTACCGATGATGCCTGTTGGCATTGTTGTATGCCACTGAGGCTGTGTCGGCTTGTACATGGTTGCACAATGGGGCACTACAATTGCCTGTGACTGCAAAAGCTGCACATGGAACATGCATGAGCAACATGGTTGGCTTGAGTGTCAACATCAACTTGTGCGATGCATCCAGCATGCAGCTGCATCGACTCTTCTTTGGCTCAAAAGCGGTGTCGGAGCAAATGCTTGATTGCAAACAGCTATGCGCAACGGGATTCAGGCCTGGAAGAAAATATACTCGAGAGTGAAAGGAAGACACGGAAGAAAAAGAAGAAAGCAACATCACTGAATGAGGCCGAATCCAACGATGCTGAAATGCCCCGAGTGGAATCCCCACTTCTCTGGGGTCCGCACGACACCCTTTCGCCCCACGATGAAAGCTTCTCTGTACATGTCCCGATACGTCATCTTGTAATGCTGATACTTAGTCCGTATTGTCCCGATGACGATCACTCCCTGTTGGCCCTTGGGCCGCCGTGTACATTGATCGGTAACTATATGTACCGTGCTTTCCGATACATCTCCTGGGGTCGCATTCCCGTATATGACGCAAGAGGGAATGGGTGGATAGGACTTGTCGTCGAAGCAATGGCTGACTGAACTTGGGCGGACCAAGTCCTCGCGCATTATGCGCGCGGCACTTGCAATGCTCGTGCCGTGTCCGGCGGTGTAGATGTATGTTTCCCCTGGTGGGTCGGTGGCACGAGTGCCGAATGCTCTGCGAGTCTCTCCAGCCCACGGGATGAATAACATAGTATGTACGCCGTCCGATATTGGCGTCAGCGTTGCCCCCAGTTCGTTGCACGCTGATCGCGTGCCCGACTGTAGCACGGCATGTGCAAATTCGGCTAAAGTCTCCTGCCTGAAATCGCTGTCAGCAGCTATCTCGCCCAAGGTTTTGGCGAGTTTATGTGCTTCCTCCATGTCGACAGCGTGGGGGGTCGGCTTTTCATGATCGTAAAGCTCAGAGAAAGGCGCCACATCAATCTGTGGTGGTCTGCTCTGTTTGCCCAGTTGTTCGAGGGTTGGCTGACCCGATGGGGCAGCAGTTGTGGATGCATCAAAAATCGGGGCAGGTGTCCGAATAGAGCTGGAGGGATTGTGCTGAACCTGTTGGCGAGAGGGTGTGCCCTGGCCTGTTGGGGGCTGCTGTTGTGCTGTTTGGCTGCCCTTGATGCGAAGGGCGATTCGCTGAACCTGCGAGGCCAATGTCCTTTGTGGGACCTTGGGTGGGGTAGGTGGCCTCTGACGTGGCTGTGTGGCTCTGTAATGCCACTTGTTGGCATCATCATCACGCACTGTAGAATAGCTACGGAGCACAACCGAGGTCCGCGGAGGTGTCGACAAAGATTGTCTGGTGTCCCTGCGAGAACGACTTCTGCGAGTGTCGCGGGATCGGCGGTGTCTGCGTCGGTGGTGGTGTCTCCCGCTGCTTGCTGCGTCGTGCTCTGCTGCGTGTGCGACGTCGGCGCCTAGTGCTCACGGTGCGAGTTCTGCTGCGTGTGGGTGAGCGCCGTCGCCTGCGTGGCAACGGAGGATGGTGGGGAGAAGTACGTGCTGCAAACTGGTCGGTGTCTGCCGATCCCGTAGCGGGGGTGGTTGTGTGGGTGGCAATGTGCTGACGGAGGGGTTGTTGGCTGTGTTTGTTGGTTGTTGTTGGGGAGTCATTGCCGGTGTCTGCGGGGCAATGTGTGTGGCATCGGTAGTGGGAACACTGGTGGGGTGAAGTTGTGAAGCTTGTTGGAGTGTTGTTGGCGGCGGTATGTGGGGTTGTTGAGCGGGTTGTGTGGAAGGGATGTTGCAAGGTGCAGGTTGGGGTTGTGGAGCAGGTGGTGTAAAAGGAAGGTTGTATGTGGCAGGCTGGGGCTGATGCGGTGTCAGAGTTGATGGGCTCGTGGGAAAAACTGTTGGATGGGTAGGCAATAGAGCAGGGTTCAGGAAAGTGGGGGGGTGTTGTGACATGAATTGCTGGGGTGGGGGTTGTTGTGGCATCTGGGGTTGTGGTGTGCTGAGATGTGTGTATACCGTCGGATGCTGTGGAATAGGAGCAGTGTGTCCACACGGCATCATGGGGAAGCTGTGCGTCTGCTCAACAGGAATCGTAGTGGGTTGTGTCGGCAGTGTGGGCTGCGGAGTGGCAGCAATGCCAGTTGGCATCATTGCTGGGTAGCTTTGTGACTGCGGTACCCAGGTGTTCGGGTGAAATTGATTCAGCACCGGTCGGGCTGTTGGTGCATATGGTGTTGCTGGTGGCTGCGCGGCAAAATAATCCGGCCACATAGCTGCAACGAAGTGGGTGAAACAAACACAGTTGCACAAGCAAAGTGCAGGCTGTCCTGGTTGTCCCTGCTGGACTGATTTGAGAGGTCGTAGACGGAGAGAAGGAAGAGGGCCGAGTACTCTCCGAAGAGAGCGCTGTTTCACTTGCTGTAGACACTGTTACCGCGTCTGCACTCATGTCAGATGCACATGCCCTTGCAGTCCCTGAGGAATAAAGAAGCGGTAAAATACGGGGCAGACTAGAGAGGTAGCACCTGCTCACTAGACGCACTTTACTGCATTAGCCGTCCCTTACTGCACCTGCACTCATGTCAGACTCACATTCGAGCATCAGAGAGAGAGAGATAAAGTAGCATCGGGAGATTCTGAACGATCTGAACGAAGGCTGAACACCCGGTTCATCACCGGTCTCCCCGGAGGGTCACCACGGCGCCATGACGGAAAGCCGTTGCTCTGGAGTCTCATAGACCCACGCTGATCACACTGATGGATTCGGCCAAGAGTACGAGTGCAAGAGGAAAAAGAGAGGCATGTTGTTCTTGCTTGTTGTCGCATCAAACTTCAATTGTGGTAAATGAAAATCTAATCTTGGCACAGGGGCCTTCTAATCTGGCTGGCACAGGGGCCCCAGCTCAATTTTATGCAGGTACGCCAGACTGATCAGGTCTGGTATCCACCATTACGCATAGCTTCGTTGGCATGCGTTTGCGTAATGGCCGCATGCCCCCTGCAACAGTTGATTTTGTAAATGTCTAATGCCGGATTATGTTGAAAAGCGAAGTTGCAAACAGTGTAGGAGTGACCCTCTGCTCCCATGTGCTAGGGAGGTTCACACACACACACACACACACACACACACACACACACACACACACACACACACACACACACACACACACACACACACACACACACACACACACACACACACACACCACACACACCACACACCCACACACCCACACACCCACACACACCACACACACCACACACACCACACACACCACACACACCACACACACCACACACACCACACACACCACACACACCACACACACACACACACACACACACACACCACACACACCACACACACCACACACACCACACACACACACACACACCACACATACACACACACACACACACACACACACACACACACACACACACACACACACACACACACACACACACACACACACACACACACACACACACACACACACACACACACACACACACACACACACACAGACAGACAAGCACACAAACAAGCAAACAACCAAACAAAATGTACAAACAAACACTGCCCACTCAGCAGTCAGCCAAACACACAAGCAAACACACAGACACACAGACACACGGACACAGAAACAAACAAGCAAACCAGCAAGCAAGCAGCCAAGCAGGCAAGCAAGCAAACACAAACACGAGCAGCAAACCATGCAGCAACGCAAGCACACAGACGCACAAACATGCAACGGCACATAGCAACAACGGAACGAAGGAAGGAAGGAACGAGCTAACCAGAGACAACGACCAAGAAAGGAATCCAACGAACACAATCGAACACACAAACAAACAGCCACACACATTCACTTCACTCCGCCCACCCCACTCCCCTCTGCTTTCGTCAACTCCACCCACCGACCCTCACTCTCTCACTCGCTCCCTCACTCCCTACCCACTCACCCACACCCGTTCACTAGCCGTGAGGATGGTAGCTCGTTGGTGCGAGCGTGTTTAAGAATGTTTCTTTGTGAATGTGCTCCAGGCTCGTTTCTCATCGCGACGACTCGACCTTTTCGACTCACGTTCCTCTGGCTGTCGCGCCAAGCGAAGGGCGAAGGACACCAGCTCCCATGCTGCTCTGTGCATACGATGAGACACCCTCCCCGGTGCCCCAAAGCAGTCGAGACTAGTATGAGGTGACAGCAACGACCAAAAAACTGGTGTGGACTGTTTCATGGCGAGCTTGGAGGAAATGCCATCGTCGCAGCAGTTGCCTCTTGCTGTGGGGCCTGCATCAGCTTTACACACCGAGACTTGGCCAACTGGTCCATGAGCAGTGACTCGTTAATCATAAGCCTACGGCCTACTAAGGTAGGCCAGCCGCAGCCCTCTGTATTGTCCCAAAGAGCCGTCTTCTTGCAGTGCCACGACATAGTGCTTAAGCTTCCTTCGCGACGATGCCCTCCCAGGTTCATTCCTGGAGCATCTGTGCTATCGGTCTGTCATCGTTGAATCATCAAAAGTAGTTATAATTTACAGTGGCTTGCCGCAATGATCCGTGCCAGATGCTGTTATTCGACGATCACTGAGCCGGTGCAACTCCGACTCCTGAACCGATTTTTCGCATAAAGAGCATGATGTCTGGAGTCTAGCGTCCAGATGGCGTCAGCCACGCCTCCCATCGTTTTAAAGGCGAGTTCTTGTACATGCACATCTTCCGTTTCGCTGGTTGGCCTGCTATGACCGTTCGCATGAAGCCTTGCATGCCTGCGTTTGGGCGTGCATGTGCGTGTGCGCGTGTGTGTGTGTGTGTGTGTGTGTGTGTGTGTGTGTGTGTGTGTGTGTGTGTGTGTGTGTGTGTGTGTGTGTGTGTGTGTGTGTGTTTTTTTTTTTTTTTGTGTGTGTGTGTGTGTGTGTGCGTGCTCTCGTACGTGCACGTGCGCGTATCTGTATCTGGAGTGTGTCTGGATAGTGGGGCAATACAGTTCATGTAGCACTTCCTCGCCCCCACGGATACGCCGACGCATCGGGTGGCGCAACAGAGCATTGTCCAGTGGAAATCATGGCTGCGACACTAGTCTAAGTCTCCAACTTCCAAGTCCAGCTTGATAAGATTTCAGATTTTGAAGTGATGGCCGCCACATCAGTCAAGGGTTCCATCCGCTAATTCCGTGCATCCGCAGGGGAAGTGGCAAGGGGCCAGCGCAGGAACCCCCGACGGCCGCTCGAGGCTGTTCATGATCAATATCTGACAAAGGAATGTCAGGGAAGAGGGTTGTGGCAGCGAAAGAACATATAGCCCAAGCGTCAATCTCATCTTCGCGCGTCTCTCTTTCTCTCCCTCTCTCTCTCTATTTCTCTTGTTCTGTTGATTGTTGGTTGCTTCTTCCTCTTGTTCTTTGTCAGCTGGCATCTTCGATGCACGTTCGTTGATGCCTGCAAGCATTGCTTTGAGCAACAGCCACTACTAGTATGATTCCTATCGCCCATGGTTATTATGGTACCGCCATCATCGTCAGTGTTCTTACTATGACGCTACCATTATTGTTATGCTGCTCAAAGCTTCCGATCTGAAGACTGGCCCCACCTTACCGGGCAACCTTGTAAAAACCTGCGTAAAGCGGTGCCCGCCGTTTGGAATGCCCAGGAAATCTGGAGTTCATGACCAAGGCTCCGTCGGCGAGTAGACAACTTCTGGATCCTTGGTGTTGTCTCCGATAGTCTCCGAAACCCAGCATGAGCTCGAATGTTGCCCGGTACGTGTTCGACACTGAGGCGAAAGGATCCTGACCCCAAGACCTTGTCCGGTGGTTTAAAGGATGTTTAAAGGCTAAGAGGCCTGTGCACGCGTAGACACGCAAGTTTGACCTTAGGATACACCAGAGGCCGATCATTGTGATTCCCACTTTTTCATGACCGTCAATAGATCACATGCGCTACAGGCTGCGTATAGCTTCGCGCTCTCCAAGGCTTTCAAGTTTTGGTGTACAAATACCCAATTCTGACAGGGTGCCTTCATGGACGTCGTGCTTTCTGGGACACCGTTCATGGTGGCAGCTCAGAATCTGGGACGGGGGAATGGCAAAGTTTATTTTTGATGAGGCCTGACTGACGGATCGAGAAAGTGCCGGTAGCAATCAAGTGTGCCGGAGATTTCGGCCCGCAGTAAGGCCGCACGATCAGTGACGGCTCAGGAGGTTACATCAGTTTTTGGTAACCTCGAATGATCCAAAAACTTGGCGTCTCTGGCACAGTTCCGAAAGGGTGGCCCGACTCGTTCGGACCCTGCCCGAGGAAGGGTGAGGGGCTGAGCTCTGAGCTCGGAGAATGCCCGAGCAGGGTCCGAATAGGGGTTTGACTGGGTGGGTCCAAATCGACGGGAAGTTTCGTTGTCCGATTAATGTTTGTGAAGTTTCAGTTCAAGTTTTGGAGATCCAAAACTACGGTCTTCTGTTGCTGTGGAACGCCAGGATTGAGAGCTCTCTGGCAAACTTACCCAGTCCCTAGAAGTAGCATGCGCAGCCCCAAAACACTGCTGCTCCCTTGGTGCAAAGCCAGCTTCATGGGTTTTGCCGGCTTGGCTCTGGCCTTGGACCGAAGTTTTCTTTGCAAGGAATGCGCATGGCTTCGTGTCGG